AAGAAGCGGTAAAAGGTGGTTTGTGCTGTGGAGACACGTGTTGCAAAAAGCGTCCGTAAAGTTAAGATAAAACAGCTCAGTTCTGTTTCATACATAAAATAGTCCCTCAAATCAATTTGCCTTTTCCTTATTTGGGCAATACCAAATATTTAAAAAAAACACAAAAAAAAAAAAACAAAAAAAAAAAAACGATCGGTCATTTGGGTCTAGATCTGTTACTAGATCTATTAACCAACACTATTTCCTAATCCCAGTAGCGTGACGTCAATTTCTACTACTTGAAATATTGTTTCAAACAAATACTACCGACGTTTCAATGTTTAGACTAACACTAAAAGACAATGTATGAATGTAAACCTACTATTTTCTCTTTAATTCAATTAATTCTGCAATATTCGCACGCTACAAAGGCAGTGTTTCTTCCAGACTTTTTTCTCCGGGGGGGCACTTGAAATCTTCGGGGGGGGGGGGGGCGGTAAACTTTCTTCGGGGGGGGGGGGGGGCGGACACTGTTAAAAGTATATATTTTCTATATAAAGTATATACATTTCATTTCGTTCGGGGGGGCGGTAAAATTTTTTTGCCCCCCCGAAGAGATGCCTGGAAGAAACTCTGTACAAAGGCATTCGAAACCACTGTTATGCTAGACAAAGGAAAACTGATAAAAAATGAAAGGAGGTAGATCTATTAGATGTAGGCCTATGTAAATTGCTCAGATCGCCACTCTCTTGCCCACTCCCATATGATCACAAATTGTGAATTTTGCCCTACTTAAAAATACGATTCATAATCCTCTCCATTCTATGGCCGGCATCAACGTATTTCATCCCGACCTTCACCTTCTGCATAGGTCGAGTATTTACAACCGCGTTTAGCTTGGTTCAGTTGCGTACATACACACACACACCAAGGTGAATTTTGCCCTACTTAAAAATACGATTCATATTCCTCTCCATTCTAGGGCCGGCATCAACGTATTTCATCCCAACCTTCACCTTCTGCATAGGTCGAGTATTTACACCCGCGTTTAGCTTGGTTCAGTTGCGTACACACACACACACCACACCACACACACACCACCCCCACCCACCCACCCACACAAACGACACCTAATAATGACAAAATTTACAAGATCTAGATCTTTATGTGTATCGTGGTCTAAATTAAAACTCTTGGCAAATAATAGGCTACCTCTAATATATCTATTATCTAAGTCCGTCAGTGGTACACCTTTTTGTATTATAGTATTTATAGGCAACGTTGCACATACAACGTAAAATAGTAGTTATTTACTTGCATAATTCTACCCTATTGTCTTATGTGTTAATGAAAACATACGTGGTCACTAGTACATAGATTCTATATCAAAGACGATGTTTTAAATAAGTTATGTTAAATTTTTAAAATGCATTTTTAAAATATATTTTTTTTAGATATTTAGTGTGAGGGTTAACGCTACCTTAATTTGTTTTCGTTATTAAGGTAATCTCCATCTCAATTACTTTTTAAAATAAAGCAACCTATTAAACAATGAAGTATCGTAATCAGAGGCGTAGCGACCCTTCCCGATAACCGGAAAAGGAAATTTTTCTACTTTTTTCTACTTTGAATTTTTCAAAAGCCTATAACCTGAGTACTATTACAGATAGAAAAAATGAATTTTCATATGTAAGTAAAAGATTTAATTCTCTTACCTCCTATTCAAATTTTGAGTTATTTCCGTTGAAAAAAAAACAAAAAAAAACAAACGCATGTGAATTTATAAAGTACTAATAATATTCCGCACTATTATGCACATTTTGTTTGGCGTTCACTTGGTGTGCAATTCTTTTTTATACGAGATTCTATTCTATTTTAAAAAGTTTAAGTCAGTATTTAAAATAGATTAAAAATCATGTATATATCTCGAGTTGCCATCCCCTGTTGTTTTATATAAGAATATTCGAGAAAGTTTAGGGGAGATCACTCCCGGTTTATTGATAATGGCTACCATTACTATCATCGAAGTGCTTCCATTCTATAACAAATATAAAACTCGTACCCTGATTGTAAAAACTTAAATTAAGACGACTGTGCTCGTGTTTTAAAAACCATCACAGCGTGTAAATAAAGCACAGTATTTATATCTACCCTAAACATTATTGCAAGAGCGTGTCGTCACGCTTCCTGAAACCTCCTACCGACTTTCCGAAGTTTGACGTCATTTACGGACGACTCCTAAATAAAAATAGTACCTCTTTGGCAAGCGACCGCTGAAGCAAACAGATATACAGGTATGAACTCAAGGAGGCCTTGCGACTTATTAATCTTAAAAATGCTAATATTAATTATTACATCCAACGATATAGAACGTGTGTGGACAAGGTGGGGGGGGGGGGGGGGGTTCTAAAAACTGAAATTTTTTTTGGACGTCATAAATAACCCCTTATTTACAGACGGATAAATTATATCTAAACTACCACTCACACACCTCCCCCATCATTTTTTGTTATGACTGACTGCATGCAAACTCAAAAAAATGAAAAATAGCGGGCAAAATCGAGAGCCTAACAATTTTGAGGGCGATCATTCTTTCATCAAATGATAATTTTTAAAATACTCGTAACACATTCAATCGGTCAGTCGAGCAACAAAATATCTCTTCCCTCCCCTTCCCCTCCTCTCCCAATAACGTAGTAACTGAGCATCCGTTTTTTTTTTTTCTTCTGCGAACTAATGAAAAACGTCACAATACAGTGTAGACCCGCGCGGGGAAAAACTTAAAAATTCACTTAAAAATAGCAAATTTTTCAGTTCGAAAATGTGGACTTCGTGAAGAAGTTTTGTTTCTAAAACTGGATTCCAGACTTTTAAAAAATCCAGCCCAACAACTAGCGATTTTCTAGACTTTTTAAAGTCTTAAATTCCATTTTCTAAATTCCAGACTTTTTCCAGACTGCGTACGAACCGTTTTAATTATTGATGCTTTTGGGGTAGGTTGTTTGAAATTTGTGACGTCACCATTTCAGAGTTGGGATCGGGCCGTATGTGACGTTACAGGGAATGACTTGTATTTGACAGTTGCATCCTCTTCTTTGTGTATGCTGTGAAAATCTGCTTTGTAAACTTACTCATATTCCCCTACATTTCATCGCTGGTGAAATGTGACCTTAAACTCTTGTATGGTAATTATAAATGAAGCGCGTTTTTTACTAGTCGCCTATCGTTTCACTCGCTTTTGTTTGGTTCATTAGCATACACTGGCGGAGGGAGGCGCATGTTAACAAAAGCGAAAGGCACGTTAAAGTAGTCAAATAAAAAAACACTAGGCCTATAGTACATCAATCGCGCGCCAACACCTATGAATCACCGTGCCCATAATACTAGTAAACCGCCTACGATTGCGAGCGCGGCACGATATAAATAGACCATATGTATAACAAAAATAACGTCGTGTATATTGAAACTTTTAGCAACTTAAAAAAAAAAAACATTGTTTTCAATGCTACCAAGTAACTAAGTGTTGACTAAACATTTTGAAATAAAGTCTCTTAAGTGGGTCAGTGACCGGCCTTTTGATTTTTTTTTCAACATCCTCTACTGGGATGTCCGATATAATTGAGATGTGAGGAATTTACAATGAAATGTCATGAGGTTTTTAACCTCAATAAAGTATTATACATTTAGTGTGCTTTTAGGCGTGAGAGCTAATTTGGGCTGTTACCTACATTTAAAAAAAATATTTTGTTGTGTAGAAATAAAGCCAAATAAAACCAGATAATCTTACTGCTTACATGTTAAAAAGCTAATTTGCTTATAAAAACAGTTGTTGTTTTTTTAAAGTTTACATGCCAATTTAACTAACCATAGTTTACTTGACCCCCATTTGTTTTATTTTAGGTAAAGCTGCAGCCTTTTTTTTAAATACGGCATTTTCAAACACATGAATGTACGCTATTTAGACTAGTTGAAATGAAAGAACAGTTATCTAGCGCCGTGTCAAAAGATGTAATAATGTTCAGCTTTGTGAAACTACTGAAACAAATACCCTTAACTTGCGATAGGAATCGAGAAGAGAGGTCCGCTGATTTGTGACACACAATGAATGGAGCCTAGACATTTATTAAAGAGGCCATAAAGATGGAGAGAAGAGACAACAAACTGAGTGTTAGAACATCAGATCAACAGATTTAAGAAAGAGAGCTGTTAGAGTGGAAGACGTGGATGAAAACTTAAGTTTCCTATTAATTTGGTATATTATCAACTTGTAACTAATACAGATGAAGTATTTGTTGGCATCCGTTCGGGCATTATTGGTTTATAAACATTGAAAGAATGAATGAAAGAAAGAAAGAAGTATAAGATAAACATAAAGGGGAATTTCCGAAATTATTTATAATGAATTAGCAAACTGGTGAAATCAATAGCCAACCGTTGAAAACAGATTAAATACAGTACGTAACAAATTGTGAATGGAATAAAAATCATTAATAAACATACATTTCAATATAGCAAATAGTAATATTTTCTACAAGCACATTGATTCAAGCTTGATAGTTATGTAAATGTGTGACCGATCCAACCAATGGCGAGAGGTATTTCAAGTAGTGCCACGCAGACGCAGTAACGAAACGGCGATTCTCAAACACTTTAGGTACATGTCTAAAATATTCTCAGACGCAAATATAGACATTCATTCAGAGTAGAATTATGGAGAAAAACATCAGACACGATTGACATGAAATATTCAATTTTAAACACGATTTTTAGAATTCCTAATATATAAAAACCCATATCCTTGGCAAGCCAGAGTGTTAAATGTACTGGTACAAAAGTAGCATCTTATATTTTCTCAAATTCAAAAAAAAAAGAATAAGTAATGTACGCTATTATAATGTGACATGTATTGTAGCGCAAGATTTTTTAAACAAAAACACTAGCGATCTTAACACTGACAAGAATTTCTCTAGGAGGGCCAGGTTTGTTACATATGTAGAACCACTGAAGGAGTAGCAATAACGGGTGTAGCAATGGCCGCTGTATTGGCGACAACGACATACCGAGAATTGTTTTCAGGAACTCGTTTCAGAAATATGTACCTTAAAGAATATAATGTGTTTAGATTATATAAGGTGAGTAGATTAGTCGCTTAATTCAAGTTTTACTGTGACGCTAGTACTTTAGAACATCTGATAGAGCAGAGAAAATGTTAACGTGTCAGGAAGCAAATTGTCATCACGAACAGAGGTCGGACTTTGTTGATATTAATTAAATCGACTAATCGGATGTGAAAGGAATTAATAAAATCACTAATTGGTGCATATCATGTCTAAAGTGTGTGGAAATTGTTGAATTATATGTTGTTATAGGCCACAATAATAAAATGTAAACGGACACGTTTTTTTTAAAAGACTGTGCGCGAACATACAATTTTAATTCATCAATGTCGGTATTTTTTTATGTGTGCATCAGTAACGAACAGTTGGAATCTAACTACATCGATTTTTGTCAATTGACATTAAATATTTCTTTTTAAATTTAAAAACGTTTTTGAGAAAAGACCCTGAGTTAGTGGGAGAGGGAGAACGAAAGAGACGAGATGTGACGTCAGTGAAAAATGTGCTCAACATTTGCAGTATTCATGATCTAGTCATCTGAACTCGGAACTACTTCTCTGACATGATCGGTTCATAAACAAATCCACCAAGTTGGCGTTACACGCTCCACTATGTCTTCACAACCCTCAGCTACTATAGTCAGAGAAGAAACGGGAGTTGATATTTATGATATCAACTTAAACAGCGATGTTGTGCAGATTAATGGAGCACACGCGAATTATGTTGCTTATGGTAAAACCGTTTGCACATACAAATATTTTAGTTTCAAAATTTCGATGTGAAGAGCAAGGACTAGAAAATCTAGTGTTCGTGTTGTGATGTTCAATCTAGGTCTTTTGTACCTGTTTTGTTATGTGGCATAAAACAATTTGAGTAGTAGCTGATCCGTGTGTTTTTATCAGAAACGTAATAACGATAACAATACTTGTATTTAAATTGTGTATTTCTAAAATAAATATTACCTGTTTAGCTTTATTTGCATACTCGATCACCTGTTAAAGCAAGAAGCTCATTCAATGACTTGATTACGCTATTAGTTACTTACTGAAAATATGCTGTACCATGACCTAATCTATTTCAATATAATAAACGAACCGACCCGCGGCATGTCATACGCCGCTATTTAGTTGTTTTATTTTCTACTTTTCAGTAATTCATAATTTGTGAATTCGACAGTACCAACGCTGCCACTGAAAATATTTGCTTTAACACACTATCAGTAGCTCGTTAAGGACGATAACCCCCCTCCTTTCCCCAACCCCCCCCCCCTCCGTTAAAGTAAACTCCACTTAGTTACCCCCCCCCCCCCCCCCCCCCTACTTTTAAAATCGTTTCAAACTAAATTATCTGCCCCTAATAGTCGTCACTAAACCCGGCTCTGTTTATAAACATTTAGAGTGAACCACAGCTCACCAGACCATGTAGGGGTGGGGGTGGTAGGGAGCGCGTTTACAGCTTGTTTTCTAGCATCTCCCAGAAGAGAATTATATATATATAGATAGATACATATATAGATAGATTTTTCATAGGACGATCTGCAGTCATTTGGCTGATAACAAAAGTAAACTCATGGCAAGTAAATAAACATCTATATTCTTGTGTTTCTACAGAGCCAAATAAACTGACAGAGCTGGGTATCACAGTGAGAAAAAGAAGACCAAACTCTAGACATGAATGATACACAGGCTGGATAGCTTCATCAGGTTGGGAGCTTTGTTAAACTAAGCACATATGAACAGAAATGTTTTGGGAATAACCTAATGTATTTTTACCAGGGGTAGCAGTGGGTATGTATGAGTGAATTCAAGGGTACCAATGGCATAGCTAGGTTGGGCTGAGTAAGGGGCATAGTAGGTATGGACTGGGTTTTTATACTAAACAATACAAGAAATTGTAGTATATGGCTTGAATGTTGGCATTTCTGAATAGTTACAGGGAGTTATAGGTGTGTATCCATGGGGAGGAGGGGTGGGGGTTAATGGGTTCTGCATTCCTAGGTATCACAGACTAATTACTCGGGGGGAGGGGGGTGTTATAGGCTCTGCATCCCTGGGTATCAAAGCCTAATACTCTGGGGGTTGAAGGGCTCTGTATCCCTGGGGTACCATAGCTTTATACTAAGGGGGTAATAGGGCTCTGTATCCATGGGGTACCACAGCTTTATACTAAGGGGGTAATAGGGCTCTGTATCCATGGGGTACCATAGCTTTATACTAAGGGGGTAATAGGGCTCTGTATCCATGGGGTACCATAGCTTTATACTAAGGGGGTAATAGGGCTCTGTATCCATGGGTATCAAAGCCTAATACTCTGGGGGTTGAAGGGCTCTGTTTCCCTAAGGTATCACAGCTTAATTCTGGGGGGGGGGGGGGGGGGGGGGGGGGGTTGTAGGGCTCTATATTTTTGGGTATCACAGCTTAATAAAAAAATATTTAGTGAGATTTTTTAACAGGTGAATAGCTTATTTACGTTCAGGTGCATCACTTTCTGTAAAAATAAGATTCAAACAGTAGCTACAAACCCAGTACCCTATTTTAAAAAGGGATGCACACAAGTCTGCAACTACTTTTAAAAAAGATGTCTAAATATAGTAATGTTCCAATAACTTTCTATGTTTTCAGGATTGACTGGAATTTTAAGTACTTGGATTTGTTGATCCACTACTTTTTTCATCACGCAAAAATGTAAATGAATTTCTTTGGCCATCAATCATGCTAAATTTTGGTGAAAGTGCAATATGTGTAAAAGGGTTTACTATAAATGAGCTACAAATCTACAACATCAAAAACTTATGGATTTAGTTTAAAGCATATCTGCCAGTCAGCTTCCAAAAAAAAGAAAAGTCTAATTTCAGCAAGATGACATAGAGTTGGGATACAACAAGTGAAAATATAATTCTGAAACATCACAAACCTGTTAGCTTACTATTATTTTCAAATTTGCCCAGTATCTAGAATGAGTTAATCTGGTTTGCGCATTAGCTGTTAATGTTATGGGGCAGAGAAATTATCAATGCTACTTAATGTAACAAGTGTGATCCAAACTTACCTGTTTCTGTAGGCCTGAAAGGTGAATGCTTGAAACGTAAATGTAGCTGTGATAACTGTTTTTATGTTAATTAATGATTCTGGGACCTGCTCATCTGAAAGTTTATTCTCCATTGCTTATTCTCCACACAGCTGAAGTGTCTCAGTACCTATAATTATATGTAAAGGAAATGTAATTTATTTTACAAAGCAGTATTTTAAATATTAAAATTAATGTCAATTTCACTTGTACATTATAAGTAATTTTTGTAACCAAAAGAACACATTTCTAATGTTTTTGATATAAACTGTTAATGCAGGCAACTACTGCAAAAACATATTTCCAATCATGCAATATAACTAGAGCTGGTGAACTGCCTTTCATTTTTCTTGTGTTTAAAAATAACTAACTATATCTCTAAAGTGTAAAAAAATAAAAAAATTTACATCAAGAAATAGCTCTGTTGAAAAATATATCATGTGTTATTGTGAGAAATAATGTTGTATTAAAAATTACATAAATGTATAATGATAAATTTTATAAATTCCTATTTGCATTTGTTATAAAAATTAAAGAACTGTATGGATTAACCTTTTGACCTTTTCAATTCATATGTTGGCTATGTATTTTTAAAATAACCTCTTTAATTTTTGTTACGTAAATATAACAGTCAACGAGTAAAGAACTGAATACCCATTAAAAAGTTATTTCAGGGAATAGTTTGCATTACGGAGGGGGGGGACTCAAAACTGAGCCACATTAAAATCAGTGATTTTTTTTTTAAATTTGCAGTTTCTGTTCAAAACCAGAAATATGGAATCTTGTAAAGCATTTAGCATTATTATCGTATGCTGTTTTAAACATTTGTTTACTTACTGCTCCCTTATCTGAATCATATTATGGTGAACGACGGCTAAACAATAGCTCTGGTACTATCATTAGCATACTCATCATACTGTTATTTTCAGTAGCTGCTGCAAAATATCAGCGCTTCCATAATGTGCATTCAGGCTTAAACAGACATTCCTTCCCATTATTTTCTTCTAATTCTGACATTTTTTTAATAATGTTAATATAATGCTCACAATTTTTTTTATCTTTTTGTATTTTCTTATAAAACTAGAAATGCATTTGAAAACAGAATCTAGCAAGTACTAATAATCGCTGTGCCTCATTTGTAAATAAACATGTTGCCTAATCTATTTTATAAGTTGTTTTTTTTTTATTCTAAATTTGTGAATAAATTTGTGTGTTTGTATGTAAGGAGTGGGGTTAGAGGCATTTGATTCTTGTCAATTCCCTAACCCCACCTGTATAATATCTCTGGTCACAAGAAGCTATCCACTCCCCCCCCCCCGAACAGAATTCCCCCTTCCACACAGCACACTAAAATAAGGACTACTGTAGCTAGAATAAGACTCTCGCAATTGTATTTCATTCATTTTATTCCTAGAGCAAGTCAAAGTCAAGGTTTTTCAAGGATTTGTACATAAGTTTAGAGTCCATTAGAACCTATGACACACACACACACACACACACTATCAGAGGCTATGACATACAGAAACGACACACATCTGTAACAAAAGAACATCAATTTTTTTTGTAAAAACTATCGACTCAAAATGTCACTGACTACTAAATAAAATTAAATAAAATTTAAAAATCAGCGTCTGAAACAAACATCATTTTTGCAAAGAAGTGAATTTTGAGACATTATAAATTATCACCACTTGTTTTTAGAACATGCTACTGATGATGTTACATTTTAAATTATGAAGACAAGATGAAAATACAGTGGCAACTCCTCATGAATATTATCTTTTCTCTTTACAGATAGCAGATATCTACTAACTTGCTAACAACATTTCAAAAAAGCTTGGTGGTGCATTGTTAACAAAAACAAGTTAATAAAAAGTCTAGTGACAATTTAAGCGCAATTTCCTTATGTTATCCATAACAATTTTGAATCGAGATAAATTATATATTCAGCAAATAAATAATGCAACACAAGTAGTTTTAATAATTCAAAACAAAATAGAAAAAATATTTATTAACGAGATTTTAAAAAATTTGCGGACGTGTAGGGGTATTTAGTTGTCGCGCTCTCTATATTGCTATATAGTACTGTAGTGTATTATGTATAATATAATTTTTTTTTAAAATTTGTGACCGAACGAAAGGATATTTTTGAAAACTTTCTTCGGCAATATTGTTTTAAATTATGGCAGGAATCGATTGGTAAATGTTTTAAGTCGCTAAGTGGTCTGGTTGCCGAGATATGGGCCAAAAACTGCATTTTTTCGAGGTTTTTTGGCTTTTCCGGGAAATCCAGGAGGGAATTCCGGGAATTTTTTTTGGCCCACAATCATCCTCGGAACTTGCTTAACATATTTGCTTTTGGAACTAATCCTCGATATTGCTTCGTTGAGGAGGAGATACGACTTAAAGCTGCGGTAAAGCTGCGGACACACATCCAGAAATGACGAATTAATAATCACAATTCCAGTATGGAAATTGCGCTAAAAACTGCCATTTTCTGGGACAGAGCCTAGAGCTATTTTAGTGATAGCTATAGTGTGTTTTGTCGAGCTCTGGCATTTTTGACCATGCTCAAAAATAATAATTTAAGTGCTTTAACTTTAACAGAAAAAAACCCACCTTTCTAAAAATGCTAATAAACAATTTATACTATGTCTGAATCACAATAATTTTCGAATTGCCTAGTTTTTTTTAACATTTAAAAGATGTAGTCTTGTAAGCATTTTTTTTTTTAGTATCCCACTAAAGCCTATTCAATTCTGCACATTTTACAGGTATCCAGAAGAAAAATTCGTCATAAAAGGCCCGTGAATTGAATGCCGATGAAAAATTATTTCGGTGATAGTTTTCAAATTATTTCGGTGATAGTTTTCAATCGGTAAATGAGATATATCGTGTTATATCATCAACCATAAAATGTACGCAGAATTAGAGAGCTTAAAATTTACTTTTTAATGGTACAAAGCTTATTACTATACAAGCCCTTTTTATTAAAGAAACTATGAAGTGAAAAGCTACTACATTTAGGAGACGCGGGCGAAAATCGCGTTTTTTTTTACGGCCGTTTGACTCCATAGAATGAGCAAATATTTTTTGGCGTTAAGGGATGCAACCAAGTTTGGTTAATTTTCTGAACAAAGTAAGTTGTTTCCCTTGCATTTACCAAGCATAACGGAAAATGCCGATGTTTGGCAGCTCGATTAATTTAGCCGAAAACATTAAAAAAACATTTCTTAACCAAAAGTGTGATGTCTTAATCTTGCCTGTGTATGTGCTTAGAACAGAATCCTCAATCAAATGTATACAATTAGTTTTCTGGGACAATGAACACATTGGGCACAAGTTCTACTTGAAAGTTTCTAGGAAACGGTTGAATGTCAAGTCAACCTTCTTGATACAGTACAATGGGTTTGATTTAGTCTATAAATCAGAACTCTTTCTGAATTTCAGCATAAAAAAGGTAGAAAAGCAACAAAACAAAAAATAATTTTTTACTATGTTTGCATAAATTATTTTCCATAATAAGGAATTTTCAATGAACTTTAGCCCTAGAAATGGTTAGTGGTTAGCAAACTAGTGCTTGAAATCCTTAAAGGAGGCTGGGCATTTAAATGTCTTTATTTGCCTATCTCAATAATGTTAAAAGCAACTAGTTAATATGCCCATTTGACATTTAGTCTTAAAATGGCTCTAACATATATTAAAGATTTAAATGAGAAGAATTATATTTTATGTGTTACTTCATTCTTAATAGACTTTTAATTAAGAACGTGATTATTATTCAAGATAATTATGAAATTTGTTAGCTTAAAAACTTAGTACTGGAATAATTTATTTTACAACAAAACATGATGTTCCTAATTTTATTTGTTTATTGTTGTCTACAGAGCTTGTTAAACTTTGTAAAGACAGATTTGATAACAAGTATCACACAATTATGTAAGTATTCGTCATATAATTATAACCTGAATATTCAGCACTTCTTTAAAATTGAAACTGTACACATTTATTTATATCAGCATACAAATTAATCTGCAGAATTTGAGGATGAATTAAAATCAGTCTAGTGCATGAGTAAATGCAGACCAATAATTTTACTTTATTAATTGAATGCTTTTTTCTTCAGGATTAATCTTGTATTTTTCATCCTTTTTTTAACTCAGATAATGCAAGCTGCTCTAATAAAGGGCAGGACTTAACATTACAGATCAAAGCTATGCTTCAATCAGAAAAAAGGGACAAAAAACAGCCTAAAAGAATGCTTGAGAGAAAAACAAAGATAGAACGCTATGACCCCAGCACTGAAGCAGAGGAGACATTGGTACTCAAGCTTAAAAATGAAATTGTGCTTACCAACTGCCTAACTCAGATTACATGTATTCAAGGCATAGATCCAGAACTAAAAAATGGTGTTGTAATGATGGTAAACACCCCCTTATCTGATTTTAAAGATGAATGGACCAGACTTTCAACATTCAAAGATTACCCACAAAGTGATAGACTATCTACAGTTCTTCTGGCTCACTTTAGATTTGTATGTATTGATAGAGATGGTACTAAGAAAGTTAAATGCTGTGACTGCTCTTTCGAGCTAGGTGACTTTGATGATAATCAAACTGCCGAATGGCACTACAAGCGTTGTCACCCGAATAGCCCCAGGGTAGCAAATGTACCTGCCAACACCCAGCCTAGTGTGAATCCTGTAGCTACTGCCATGTTTCCCCCAACAGCACATGAAAATACAAGCAGATCTGGAGCAAGTATACAAGTAAACAACCTACAAGAGCAAACTGAAGAAATTCATGATGAAGCTTTAAACAACCAACAAGAGCAGACTGAAGAAATTCATGATGAAGCTTTAAACAACCAACAAGAACAGACTGAAGAAATTCATGATGAAGCTTTAAACATCTTACAAGAACAGAACGTGCATACTGATAATGAAAATAGAGCTGCTGTAAATAACCCACCATCTGCAGGGTCACCAATCTCTAGTTCACAAACATACCTTAGCCGTATAGCTGTGAACAGAAACCTAGCAAAACAACTATCACCAGATTTAGGCATTTATAATGAAAGGCCTAAACACACAGAATATGTTAGTCTGAAAAAACGAATCCAGACCTTCAAAACTTGGCCAAATTCTGGTATATCCCATGTGGACCTTGCTAAATCTGGCTTCTACTATAAAGGCTAGTAGACTTTATGTTAACAAAAATTACAGTATATCCTCATCTATTTTAATGGTAGTTCATGGGGTAGCTGAGGATATGGAGTTTTCTCCTATTATAGAGAATAATTATCACTGGGAATGCCTTTTCAATAAGGCTCCAGATGAACAGGCTCCGATCATTTAGGCTCTCAACAAAATGGCTCCTGTCATCACAACTTCTGACAAACAGGCTCCCATCATTTAGGCTCATGACAAAACAGCTCCCCTCATTACGACTCCCAACAAATAGGTCGGGAGCCCATTTGTCAGGTGTCCTTATGTCGGGTGCCAATATGTTGGGAGCTTATTAGTTGGGAGCTATTATGTGGGGAGTCCATTTGTCGGGAGCCTATATGTCATGAGCTTCTAGGGAATGGGTGAAAGTCCTTGACCTTAATTAGCGGTGTTGAGAACCCGTAAGAAAAGCAAAAGCTGCTTACTAACATGTTCATAGTAAGAAGCATGCAATTAACTTAGTAGATGAGCTTAGTGCTGACCACACTATTCTTTGACAAGAACTGTTGACAGAAGCAGATTAACTCTACTTCATCATTCCTATTGATTGTCAGAGCCAAAAGGTAACTATATATTTTTTTTTTAATTTGATGGTTAATAATAATAATTATTATTATTAATTAAGAAGCTAAACTACTTCAAATATTTTTGAAACTCTTAGGAATTAAGGACCATCTAACCTGTTTTTTCTGCGGAATGATTTTGTCTGAATGGAAGCAAGGTGATGACCCTTTTGTAGAACATGCTCGCTGGTATCCACAATGCCGTTACATAAGGCAACATAAAGGCCAGGCTTTTGTTGATGCTGTATGTCAAATCCATGAAACTAAGAAGGTATATTCAAAATTACTTATTTGCATTCACACTTAAATAAATGGAAAAGAGATTCACAAAAAATGGTTTTAAGTGTTAAATCTACCCGACCCATCCTGGTAAAACAAATGATGGTAGTGCATACAGTCCATAATATCCAGGCTATTGGCACAAAATTTATGTAATGAGGTGGAAAATAAAAAAGCAGTATACTAGTAATAACTTGTTTGATTATAACCAGATTTTGCCTTCAATTTATATTTAATGTCTTATAGAGTGATAAGAGTGTGATTACTCGCCAGGATGTGGAGACTTTTATGGGAAAAGGAAAAGAAATTTGTTCCAGTATGTAAAAGTATAATAAATAAAATCAATTACAACACAGTGACCAGTTTAGTTTGATTTGCTGGTTATATGTGATTATTAATGGGATGATGTAGTGTATTTTTGTTTCAAGGATATGATGAACCAGATATAACTTCTGATGTGGCCTTTCAAATACTTGTGAGAGGGGGTTACCAACAAGACAAAGTTTACACAGCTGCACAGGAGGTGAAAGATGCAGGTACATCATGAATGTTGGATTATTTAAAATACTGTCAACAAAACACAAAATTAAATCTACAGCAATATACAGTGAACACTACTGGACAGTGGCGTAGTGAGGGGTCGGGTGTCACCCGGTGCGGCACTTAATGGTGTCACCCCCCCCCCAGAGGCATAGCGACTCTTCCTGGGGACAAACTTTCAATTTTTGATTTGCACCCCCCCCCCCTCAAACTTTGATTTGCACTCCCGTCAAATTTTTCTCTATATATTTTTACTATTTTTTGCCTTGGTGTCACCCCCCTAAATGGTGTCACCTGGTGCAGTCCGCACCCCCCGCTACGCCTCTGCTACTGGATGAACAGTACAACATGAATACAGAGGATTAAAGTTGTAGAGCCATAATGTAAACCAGTTTGAAATTTATCTGAATAACCTTTCATACCTGTACAGAAGAGTCAACTAAGCTGTTAGTTCAAAAGAAAGGGCTTTTAGTGAAGTACATGGCTAAAATCAACAGCAAATGACAATCAGGCAGCTTTTAATTTTCCAAATGACACTACAACTCAAGCTTAGAAAATACTGGGTTTATAACCACTGGATACCATTAAGCAAATTAGAGTTCATCAGATATATAATGAAGTCAATTGACTTACACCGAGTACCAAAGTGTCTCAAAAAGATCCAATGTTCTCAAACTTAACTAAAGATCACTAGTAGTGTGGAGGGGTAGGAAACATTGTTACTGAAATGGTAAACAAAGGTGGACACTGTTATTGAATATAGTCCAGAGCAGTTTTAGCCAGATGGGAATGGAGCCCACCATGACACACAATCACCTCAACTGCTGTAAACACAACGACCTGTAACCTCTAAAGGAATAGAGTATCTCTCATGGTCCACTTGCAGAGTATCCACACAGAGAACACAAACAGTGATCATGATATAAAGTATAAAGAGTAACTTCTATATATATAATTCTCTTCTTGGAGAAAACAAGCTGTAAGCGCGCTCCCTACCACCCCACCCCTACATGGTCTAGTGAGCTTTGGTTCACGCTAAATGTTTACAATTGTAGAGCCGGGTTTAGTGACGGCTACTCGGGGCAGATAATTTAGTTTGAAACGATTTTAAACTTAGGAAAGGTAACTAAGAGGAGGCTGCTTTTCACAGGGGGGTGTAGGGGTTGGGGGAAAGAAGGGTGGGGGTAGTATCGTCCTTAACGACTTACTGATTGTATTTTAAAGCAAATATTTTCAGTGGCAGAATTGGTACTGTCGAATTCACAAATTATGGATTACTGAAAAGTAGAAAATAAAACAACTAAATAGCGGTGTATGATATGCCGCGGGTCGGCTCGTTATTTTATAAAAATTAAAAGTATACACCCTTCCTGTTCACTTAATATAGAGATTTACTAAAAAATAAATGATTTAAAGTTTTTCCATTTATTAAAACTTAGACATAGTATTTTCATTAGCTTTATCTGCTACTTCATGCAAACACTAATTCTATTTTATTTTGATAGAATTACAATTATCAACATATAGAGTACTTCAAAAACTCTTGGAAAATAGAGGAAACAGTACAAGACATCCAGCCAGACATACAGTTAATAGTATGTATTGTGGTATTCACATTTAATTTTAAAGCTTAGAAACTGATATAAGTTTAACTTTTAAATAACTTCTGATGTTTCAGTATCTTTTGTCAATTTAATGCAAATTAGAACTGTAAACTTAAATTTTACTTATTACTTCAATTTTAATATTCTACTCAGGGAGGATTGAAAAGCTGAAAACAGAAAATGACATTCTTCGCAATAAGTGGCTATGCAAGATTTGTTTACAAAGACAACTAAAAATAGTTTTCATGCCATGTGCTCATCTGATTATGTGCCAAGAGTGTGCTGTAGATTTTGAAATGTGCCCTAGTTGTGGAATGCCAATTGAAAAATATCTGGATGCTACTTTGTGAAAGAAAAAAAAAAAGACTGTTATTTATTTGTTCTCATGAATTGAGCATTTTAAAATGATATGCTTGTGACATAGTCTGGTCATTTTTTTTATTTTATGAATAAAAATTACATTTATATCAGTAATCTGTTAAATATTTTACTGTAAGGGTGGTCTATTTCTTCAAACAAGTTCTCAAGACTAAATGGTGCGAGGTTTAAGGATGCAGTATACTTATCAAAAACATGACCATATTTAACATAAATGTGTGCAGCTTACTTAAAAATATAAAATTATAAGAATTTATTAAATTAAATAGGCAACATTTTGCAATTGTACTAATCAATTATAGCAACACAATTTATCTATGTATGTATACAATTTAACCTTATAGTAGTTATAGTGCAACTGAATGTTTTCTGTATAAAACAGCAGTATCTTTAGGCACAAACAAAGTATGACAACCAAAAACACCAAAGCTATAAAAATCATGTACTCCATGAGAACCATGTTAATAAACTTGTGAGGAGGGAGGGAGATGGGGGGGGGGGGGTTGTTAGTGGGGTCAAATTTTTGTGTGTGCTTTTATGCAGAAGGTATGTTAAAAATTGTTACACAATGAATTCTAATAGTAAATATTAAAATAAAAATATTCAAATGTTCTGACAAGTAAGATAGGAGAGTGGGATGGGGAAATGAAAAAATTCAGAAGGAAGCTGATGCATTTGTAGCTAAGGGGGAAATTTGCAAGTGTTTTTTGTTGTTTTTTGCTGCCAGAAGTTCATTTCTAGTACCACTTAAAACCCTTATAAACTTAACATTTAGAAAAGTGTTGGTCTATTTATAGTACTATATTCTTTATGCATAAATCTGAAAATACTTAATTTACTTTAAACTCTTACAATGAAGTGATTTCTATATGACCAAGTAATATTTGTGTGAAGCCAAAAATAGCTATGTGCAAGACAATTTACACTGGGTATCCACCTTAAAATTAAAAAAGCCAAGTTTGTTCTGAACCCCCCCCCCCCCCATCCCATGCAAACTCCAAAGTCATTTTTTGTAATGCCTATGACCAAGCCTGCCATGAAAAAAAAAAAAAACTATGTCTAACATTTAAAAAAACAATACAAATAAAAATAAATAGGGAAGCATGATAAATTGGGTTGGTACAACTTTAAAAAATGAAATTTCAGACTTTTTTTAAAAAATAAAATTATAAACTTTAATATTTTAGTGACTTATTTATAAAGGGATGCAACATTTTGTACTCTCATTTTAATTTAAGTCTAATGACATTTATTTAAGGCAATGCAACTACTGTTTAAATTTCAACTTTCTCTCTGCTAACAGAAGGAAATAACTTTATTTTTTTTATTTTATTTGGGGGGGGGGGGGGGGGGGGGGGGGGGGGGAAGGGGCTGATCACCACCCCCCCCCCCTCTCCCACGTTTAAATTATTAAAATAATTGATTAATGGAAACTATTTTGTTTCCAACATTAAACTAATGTAGTATGTTAATGATCAATTTGCATTATGTTTTCAATTAAATTATTACTTAAAATTGTAGGCCAATTGATAAAGCCTTCTAGTAATTCTTTAAAACAATAATAAAGTAATTTAGGCCTCCTTATCTAGGCCTATTCTAGTGAGTAGCCTAGACTTATTCAACATAGATCTAGAAAATATGTGCTGGAAATAATAGGTTACTTAAAAACAACGTGAGACAAAAAAAAAAAAAACATTCTGCTTTAAAACTTGCCAGTATATCTGCCCCCCCCCCCCCTTCCGCTGTCGCCAAACGAGACACGGTGGAGGGGTCACAGTGAGGTCTTGTAAGACATCAATATGCTTGTATTAAACGTCATATCATGAACTGTGACGTAAACTTCTATCCCCCCCCCCCCCCCCCCCCCGGCCAACACGTACTCGGGGTCACGGTGAGTTCACGCAAGTTTAGACATCATTGGCTGTTGTTACAAGAAGGGGAGGTAAGTCGAGCCGTCAACATTTGCAAAGATTTCAAAATTAAATGGAAAGCATTGGGAAATGGTAGAGGTGGTAGCTAAAAGTTTAACGAAAGGTGAATTAAAAGCAGATCTAGACTACCGCAGACACGCCTCCCCAATAAATGTTTGTTATCACTGCCTACCAGCAAAGCGAGACAAAAAAAAAGTTTGTAAAATTGAGAGCTTAACCTTTCCATGAGCGATCATTCCTTAAGTAAATAATTTTGAACAGCCGTAACACATTCAGTCACACAACAAAACTGATGTTTAACCCCCCCCCCCTCCTCTCCCAATGACGTAGTAACTGAGTGATCTTGTTTCTTCTGTGTAGACCCGCGCGATGTTAACGTCGCACAAGGAAAAAATTAAAAGAATAAAGATTTTGTCAGCCGCAGAATATGGATTTCGTGAAAAAGTTGTGTATCTAAAACTAAATTCCAGCCCAAAAATTAGCGATTTTTCACACCTTTTAAAATCTGAAATTCACATATTTCTAAATTCCAGACTGCGTACAAACCCTGGATAGAATGCGATGTTGCAGTCATAAGGATTGTAACATTAAAGATATGAAATCCACAGCCCTCATCATTAATTAAAATCTGACTAGAATAGAAGGGGGATAAAATATACGTAAGCTGTAGTTCTAGATTGAGATCTAGAATAATCTGCAACACTGCAAACAGGCTACAGCTGAGCTTTTAGATGGGCAAGGAAAATGTATTGTTTACTTCTTTCCGTTATGGTCACTAACGATAATTGAAATATATTAAGTAACCGCACACTTAAACACACCTTACCCTCCACCTCAGTCATGAAAAAAAATAAATTGGAGAAAAGAGGAAAAGAAAATTGCGTGAGTGGAAGGTCGGCCAAGCTAATATAATTTTAGAAGATAAATAGAAAATCCTGCCAAAGCTTTTGAACTACAAGAAAGCTAGCAGAAAGCGCGCCCCAAAACCAAAGAAAATTCCCCCCGTATTTATTCCCCGTACTAGATTATAGTAATTAGACAGTTTTCACGGCCACTTATGTTAAAAAGAGCACTAGTATTGGGAGAAAATGTGGCGGTATACAACCAACAAGTTACGATGTATTAGAATTAGACAATGTAATTTTCCTACCGAACTAACTGTAGTAGTTCTATACGTCAAGACAGAAGGGGCCAATAGTGCAATATCCCAGCACCAAGAAATTACCTAACGCTAACTGTAAATTTTTTTTTTAAGGATGATTTAAAAAAAAAAAACACTTAACGTCAAGACAGAAGGGGTCAATAGTGCAATATCCCAGCACCAAGAAATTACCAAACGCTAACTGTAATTTTTTTTTAATGATTTAAAAAAAAACTAAGCACAACTATACAGATCATGCCAACAACCCGTGGTAAAATATTTCCCGTGTTAAATATTATGAATGTGTGATCTCAAGCGAAAAAAAAAATACTGTCTAGTCTAGTAGGTTTATAAAGAATCAGTCTACACACATTCCTCCTGTGCCCTAAAGTCGCCTGACCTAGATAAAATAATAAAGTTGTTCAGCTTAGTTTAACTGTAACCAACGGTGTGCTTTTGGGTGTCATAAACCACAGTTAATGCTATTGGTTTTATGGCAAACTTCAATTGAAAATATATTTTCATATAATTTGTGCATTTAGCAGCTTGTTAAAATTATAGTGTAGGACATTCAAATTTTTAATGTGGGGGGGGGGGACCATGGGGGATTACAATCTTAAAGCCAACTTAAAGGACAGCGAAAGAAGGGGTGCGAGTAAAATTTTGCGCCCCGTCAAAAAAAAAATATGCCAGTGATTGAACGGCGTTGATAGTACTCCTTTAACTGGTATCAATTCTTCGATAAATCGGGGGGGGGGGGCTATTATGCCAATGACCATTGTATAATTATAGCAAGGGTTGTAAGCGTATTGTACAGGCGTACAATTCGTTTAAAACAGATGTTAAGAATTTTTTTTTTAGTTTTTAAGTAGCGAACTTTTATTTAAAGATGCGCGATTTTAAAATTTCTTATGAATCCATAAACGTTCTTTTATTATAAACATAAATATAAAAAGCGATACTTTTCTTCAATGTTTTAAATGCGAAATATTTATTTTTTGTAACTCGTACGATCGTTAAAAAAAACGAGGCAAAGCAATTCGGTATAGAATCTAGATCTAGTCTAGATCTAGATCTGCAGACCATAACATTGTGAAAATGGTAAATATTATCCCAGTTCCAGAGTCTGGCGATCGTGAGCAGGACATAGAAGTTAATGCCAATACACAGGCATCAAACGATGGAGCAAACTTAAGGCTCAGGGAGGATTACGGAGTAAGAATTCGCAGATTCCCACCAGCGATGGTGAACATTAACCAAGTCGTCTTCATCCCCGGACTGATCTTTGTATGGTCGCTGTTAAACAGGCAGCCCATTCTGGGACAAATGCTGCCATTCATTTTCATGGCCTGCGCAGGCATTGATCTACTTGACGCTAACTCGAGTAGACCACAAGCCATGGATAAATTGGATACGAACCAAGACGAATCGCCTGTGGATGAAAGTAAGGATGCAGTCCAAGATGGCGGCATTGGCGGGGGAGAAAGTGCAACTGGTGTTCATGCTAACACAACCACAGACGTAACAGGTGATTGTAGATCTAGTCCAGAAAATAAATGCTTAACACTCTGCTCAATTACAGTTGCTGAAAAAGAAAGTGGCTGTTTCTCATCAGAAGCTATAACAAGCTCCCAAGAAGATATCACCAGTTCCCCAGAAGCTATCACCAATGAATTCTTAGGGGCTTGTTCCAATGTAACAGAAGACTACAGGGTTGTCAAAACCGGTAACAACAAGGAGATTACAGTAACTAGAGAGACAGCATCAAGATTGCCAAAGCATCCCCAGTATCTGAGTACCCAAATCATTCAACAAATTACACCCGGAAGCAAAAGATCAACAAAGTACCTATCACAAGAGCAGCATCCCAAACCCACAGACCCAGTACTCAATAGCAAGAAAGATTTCTTGCATAAAGGCAAGTCAAGACAACTACATCCACCTCTGTCACCCAACGTACATTCTTCAACTAACGTGGAATCAGAACTGGACCCACATTGCAAGAAAAAAGAACACCCT